CCAAATTGGAGCTAAAATAACAAAGTTGTAGATATTTCATTCATCCCCCATTATAACCTATAGCCAGATCTCCAAGGTGGCTCCTAAGTTTCAGTGCCGCTTCGGCCGGATCGAAGTGGTAAACCAATCCGGAGCTCCAGATCAGATCGTGGCCATCTGAAGTGGCTGGATCCAAAGCCAGATTGGATTGCTGCCGACTCGCACAGGCCTATTTATCAGTGTGTTAGCTGGAGAAATGCAGAGAGAGGGGAAAGGGCAGAGATACTTGTCTGCCAAAAACCCCCCAAATAAAGCAGGAAGACAAATGCAGCTGCAGCAGTAATTTCCCCCTGCTCTTCAGCTTCAATATTTCTTTGCTAAAACCCATTGTAGCAGTGAGCCTGCACTGCACAGCCAGACCCAGGCACTTCTGAATGTTGTGAGAATAGGGATGGGGACTTTTTAGTTGGCCCTTCTCTGTGTGACAGGATGAGTCGTGCTTAGGATAAAACCTTTGATCCTGTGATCACTACTCCTACTCCATGTCAGTATTCTTTCTTACTCATATCCTTACCCTTATCAAATGCTGGGTTAATTGCTGATAGGCTTTCCCTTGTGACTTAGCCTTTCCCCCAGAGTTTGCCATAGTTAGAAGTGTGTATGTTTGAAGTGATGTTTTATTTCTAGGTCACTCTGGGAGTCCTGAGGGAACATTTCTTCATTTGTAATCCCTCTCCACTTCTGTCCTTCTGAGCCCCCAATTTTGTATCATTCCTGGGTCTCCTCTTGGGTAGAAACATGGAGAGAGAATTCCTGACAAAGTTGGCTAATGTTACTTTTGGAGTGACCCACTATCAGAGCCAGAGGGGAGGCAGGAAAATGATGGTTCAGGAAGAAGGCTGTGGATGGTAGACATGAAGATAGAAACAAGTGGAGTGGGGGAGGTGTGAAGTGAGGTATAGGCTTCTTACTGAGCCTTGTACAGCTTGTGTTGTCAAACTTGTGCTCAGTAGTGTTCGCTTGTGGAAAGTTAGCTTCTTTTGGGGGACTATAGAAACTGTATACCTATAACAGGGCAGCGAACCTGCAGCATGGGTGCCGCAAGTGGCATGTGGCAGATCAGCAAGGGAACAGGTAGCAGGGATAGCCAGGGCAGGGAGCAGGAATCAGGGCAAGAGAACGAGCAGAGAGCATTGGGCAGGGAGCAGAAAGCTGCGGAGATCAAGCAGAGGAAGAGGATGAGAGTGGCGCTTGGGGAGGGTGCAGACCAACTTTGGGCACACCTGCCAAAAAGGTTGGCCTGCACTATTGTATAGTAGCTTTCTCTATCATGTCTGTGTATGAATCTAGTGATTGTGTGGCAATGCCTTTTCACCTCTTTGTGCTGCCTTCCTCCCCTTTCAAATATTGCTGGTTTTGTTTTATAAATGTAATTTGCAAAGGACCCAGTAGTTTTGCATGTTTGAAGGGGTCAGGGGATGCATTCACATTGGCATCTTATTTTCCTATACAAGTGGCACCACTCTTGATTGGGATTAGGAATGGCAAAAGAAAACAGATGTATTCTAGTCCCAAGGGCTTCTGTTTAAATTTCTTTTTATTCAGGCAGCTATAGAAACAGCACTCCAGTCCAGGAGGAATACACAGGGATCTCATGAGGTTGAAGCTGTTATGTCTACTGAAATGAAATAAAATGCAACATTAAAAAATTAACACTACTACTACCATTATAATGATATATGTAAATATATCTGTGATTTCATTATATTCATTCATTATATTCAGTTGATATTCGTTATATTCATTCAGTAATACTTATTAATATTCAAGAATCTGGCTAGGGACTCAGGTTTACTGGATGGTGAATTTCTTCCCCCTGTATAGATCAGGAATGGAATCTGTATTTCTAAATATCTGTCCCTCTTTTGTCTCTTCTAATACTCTAACTGGATAGGACAGTTTCTTCATCTTCTATACGTGTGCTCTGAGAGGGGGATGAGGGGATGGCGCTTTAATCAGAGGTTGTGTGTAGATGAAATGAAGGGCATGTGTGCACAGCACTTAAAGGCAGGTTAAATGCTTCTGCATCGCTTTAATGGTGTTGGTGTTTACACGCATCAGTGGTGTATTATGCAGTACTTCCAGCCACTGTAGCAAATTCGGCAGCGTAATGCGCCTTAAATGACTTGGGATGCAGCAAACTAAAACTCCTCTGAGGAGTTTTAGTTTGCTGTCCTACCACCGTGGAGTGAAGCGCCAGGCTCCATGCAGCTCAGGGACTCTGCAGGAAGCCCGTGCAGGCAGCCTGGCAGCAGCCCGGGAAGGCAGGCTCAGCTCCACCCCCAAAAAATGGCAAGCTTGATCCTTTTTTTTTTTCCCCCCTGGAGCCTGCCTGCCTGCCTAAGCTGTGCGGGCCCCAGTGCTTCCTTCTGCGGCTGCAGTGCCCCCCCAGGACTGCCTGAGCTGGGTGCCTGCAGGTGGGTGCCACCTGGGGGGGCACCACTGCCATGGAGGGAAGCACCAGCCCCCCCTGCAGCCCAGGGACCACTCCTCTTGCTGCCAGCTTGCCCTCCCCTCCCCGCCGCCAGAGAGGCAGGGAAATGCATGGGGGGGGGCATGACATGGGGGTTTACCTGGCCCTAAATTGAAGTGGTGTTTTTAAAAACCCACCACTTAAATTTAGGGCCCCCTTTTTGTCTACACAAGGCCAGAGTGACTCTGAGAGCCAGTCTAATTAAAGAGCTCAGAGCATCATGTGCATCAGCGTCCCCATGCTGAATAATGGCGGCAGTGGCACTTTAACTAACGCTCAGTGAACCAGCTTTAGTTAAAGCACCCCAACACCATTTTTCAGTGCAGGGACACATACACATGGTGGTGAAGTCTGCTGGAGCACAGTAATTACCACACTCCAGCAGAGTTAATTAAGCAGGTCTGTTCCGACGCACTTTATTACAGTGCATTGGGCAGCCTCGATGTATGTGTATAGATGCCCCTGAATGTCCCATATTTTGGCATATCACATTTCCAGTGTGTGTGTGTGTGTGTGTGTGTGTGTGTGTGTGTGTGAGAGCAGGGCGGGCGGTGGGTGTTTCCTTCCATATTTGAGCAATACAGAGTCTAGCTGCTAAAACCCAGAAGATACTAGCTTTTCATTCTGCACAGGGTAAACTTCCTTTACTGGGCCACCCAACAAGCAAACGTCATGCCCTCTGAAGAGCCCCACTATGTTGCACATTCCTGGAGGCAGTAAAGATAGAGAGAGGGAGGGGGAGGTACCAGATAGATTGCTCAGTAAAAGTGAATTTCCATTCAGAGTCAACAAACTAATAATAAACTGTACTGGGAAGGGACCAGGGAGAGAGATAATGAGATCATAAACCATTTGGCAGTGGATAACATCAACACAAGAGAAAAGTATTATTTATTTATTTATTTAAAGTGTAGCCCAGGCATATACAGGGTATGTACCCCTACTCTCCAAACTGAAGGGGATTGTCAGCAGGCAGAGATGCTGTGGGAGGAAACTGTCAATCGCAGTTTCCGCTCAGTTCCCTATACAGTCAGGCCAGGACTCAACTGCTTAACTATATACAGGTTTATTAATTAATAAAATAAAGTTATATACACACACATATATCTACATATAAATAATCACTTATTCAGTGGTACAGGACTATATTATATACTTGACTTATACCTCCTATAGAGCTTCAACCCACACAGGTAAGCAATGGATCTGGAACAGGTAAGTATAGGTAAACACAGGTAAATTTAGCATGTCAACAAAGATAAATGCAATTAGCTATTTACAGTCCATGAAAGAACATTGTCATGTATGCAGTGGAAATCAAAGATAAGAATACACTTGTACTCATATAACAGTGAAACCTCAAATGCAAAATATAAGGTGTAAATGACAAAATATGAGGCGCTCGCTCATCCTTCCAGGTGTTGAGGGTGCTACTATGCTAAGGTCTCCACATTTAATGAGGGGAGGCCTAGCTGCAGCTCTGCCAGGGGAAAAAGGGACAATGCTCCAGGCCCCTCTAACCCGTCGTGGGCTGGGACAGGACCCCTTACCACACAGGGGCTTCTGCTGGCTCCCTCCCGAGGGTTCCCTCCCCTGTGGGATACTCTTGTTCTCAACACTCATGACCCCTGGTGATGCAGGGGTGCTCTGGCTCTGTGGGATGGGCGCCTCTCCTGGCACGGTAGGTGGCCACTGCTCAGGCTTTCTCCCATCCTGATGCCTGCTCATGGCCCTGTGCACCATTTGGCTCACTCCTTAAGGTTGGGTTGGAGACCCGGGCTACCTTGTGTGACACCAGGGCTTGATCAGCTCCTGGACCCACTGGGGGGGTATTGCCATGTCAGCAGCCTGACCACATACCAGGGGTGTGGGACCTGAGCCACCTTGAAGCAGCTCCCAGAGTCCTGGTCTGCTCTTGGACCCTCTGTGCAGCGATCTCTGCACCACACTTCTAGCTGCCTGCCGGGGTTGCGGACCTGAGCTGCCTTGAGTGGCTCCCAGGGTCTGGGCTCTGTGCACCAAATCCATGCACCACTCCCTGGCCACCTGCCAGGGGATGCAGACCCAGACTGCCACAAGCAGCCCCAAGGTCTGAGCCCCATGTGCCACCCCGTGCACCAATGGGGCTGAGGCATTGGTCCCGGCAAGGGGTGTCTTCAGGGCTCTTCTGGGCACTGTTTCATCTGCTGGGCAGCTCTTCCCCAGCTCTTCCTAGCCCCTTTTTCCTTTGTCATCCCCTGATGCGTCTGACATATGCTGGGCACACGGCTCCTTTTATTCTCTTCAGAGGCTCTGCCCCTGAAGTCTTGCTGGACCTGCAAAATGCAGGCTTCAATCAGGTCTGGGAGGCTTCTTGCCCCTCCCCCTCTCCAGGCAGGGCAGGGTTGGCTCCTCCCAGTCCTTACCTGAATGGTGGATGGGCTCCACCAATCAAAATGAAGATTTTTCAAGTGCAGGACATGCTGGGCTGAATCGGTAAGTCCGACACAAAAGGGAAAACCCATTCCAGTGGTTTCTTTTCCTTAAAGGCATTTTGGACTTAGCTCTTCCCACACTACAGGTACTGGTTGCTAAAGGGTAAAAGCTGGGTTAATAGCCTGACCATGGGTTGGAATTAGGTCAGTTGGACTCTTTCTGGTGGAATGTGGTGCTATAACCTATTGCTCCCACTGCCAATGGTGGAAGGGGACCTGGCTCTGGCTGTCATTGCCAAAGTCCCCTGGACCACGCTAGGAGGGGGTTGGCTCTGCCCCTTTCACACCCAAGGGCTTCTCTTTCCCATGTGTGGTGGGGGGTGTTAGTGTTTATTCTATCCTCAGTTCTCTGTCTCAAAATGTAGGTCTTTCTGAACAGATTGGATCTGCCAAACTGGGCCACAGATTTTGCCAGAAGCAGGTGTCTCGTGTGTTGCATTTGCCATCTTTTTCCTGTGGGCCTGAAAATATTTCCAAACCAGCCTTTCCCATAGCCATAGGCACTGGGGTTCTTCATGTTCAGTCCTGCATGTAACCATTTTAGGCAAGAAGTGAGAGACCAGAAAAGGAATGTCAATTCACATCAGGCATGGCTGACTTCAGATTTTGAATGATGGCGTGTCTGAGGCCAAAGTAGGGTTAGTGCTGCAGCCCAGCATCCCCCAACACCATGCTGAGGTATTGATTCAGTAGTGATGGCGAACAACTGAATCCCTGGGTTGCTGACACTGAGTGCAGACAGCTGTTCAGTAAGTCATGAACTAGTAAGGAACAGTGAGCAAATGCAACTAGCAAAGCAGGGGCTAATTTAGTGGGGGTGAAATGAAAACAGGTGAATGGTGCCTTGGGAATCTGGCTGCTGCTGTTTTAATTCCTGCTAGAATGGACAACACTTTCCTTTCCATTCAGCTCTGCCCGTGAGGGGGATTATTTCAGTCAATAGTTCTCATGGGGGGCAATGTATTGCTAACTCAATGCTGGCAGCTCCCAGCTGGAGGCCTGCCTGGGCTTTTTTCTCTGCTGTGCTGTAGATGTGTTGTTGCTGTTCCCATTTGCTCTGGGCTCTGATTGATGTTGGGGTGCCTGGCAGGGGAGAAAAGAGATGTGTGCATTGCCTCCCTTGTGTTGCTGTAGGTAGGAGGCAGTTGCACGCATCCCACCTGGCTTGGAGAGGATAGGAAAAGGGAGAGGAGAGGAGGGAGTGGGCTGAGACCAGCTCCTATCCCCTGAAAGCTTTCTTTTCTCCTCTGAGGGCTTGGTTGGGAGGAGGCATACCCTGGCCCTGATGTTAATTACCTCCAAGGACACACTTGTGTCTGGAGCAGAGGAAGGGGACAAACAACAACCAGTACAAGGCTGAGGGGTTTTGGAGCAAATGAGACTGACCCAGTGACAACAGTGGGTGGGGCTGGATCATCTTCTCTCACCAGCAGAACCCCTTCTGCCCCACATTAGGAGGGCCTGGTTTTGCCTCTTCTCTTTTGCAAAGACCTCTTGCACCATGCCCCTGCCCCTTCTTCCCAGTTCAGCCACCAAACAGGGCATGCAGAAAACAGCCAGGCTACTTGACAAAGTGGTGATCAGGGAGCAGCAGTTGCATTTTGAATGAGCCACGGACTCTGGTGTCTTTATTACTCAGATAGTCAGATGACCTCTCAGGGCATATCGGCCTAAGCAAAAAACATGCTTCTGGGCATTTGGAGCACTTGAGGTCTGAATCTGTCTGGCTCCATGTTGGGGAGGGAGGCCAAAGGATGGGTACTTCAAAATTACTAGCACCTCTCCTCTCACTAATTGAAAAAGCAGCATCAGGCCCAGCCCTGCTGAGCGGTCTTGTCAAATGGAATCAGACTGAAGGAAACTAGACTGCAGGAGGGGATGTGGCAAAACTGGGTCATTGAACCAGACCCTTTGTGAAGTATTTTGCTGAGACACCTCGCCTAAAAACACCAAGTAACCTGAATTTTCCAGGGTGGCCCCACATTTCAAGGCCATATCCCAGAGTTCTAAAGAGGGCATCTGAAATAGGACTTTTGTTCTAAATTAGCCAGGCTGCCCTGTTCCCTGCAGTCAAAGGAGCTGTAGGGATGTAGCCCCTTGGGTAGGTCTTGTTTATTTTCAGTGAGGTAAAATAAGTACTTCTGCTTTAAGTGACAGAGTAGTTCCATCCAATCTTGACTGCCTTCTGCTACATCAAGGTAGAGGCAGCAGTAGAGTTTCATCTTGATTATGCCAAGTTGTGCAGGGTAAAGAAAGGCTCAGGCTCCCACATCTCCATGAGTCTTAGCTTATGGGAACTGTATGTACAATTCCTGAGTGTCTGGAAGGGCCTCATGGCCCTGAGCAAGTAAGTGGTATAAGTGCTGGCACAGAACAGGTACAAGAGAGCCTCTTACTGGCCCTCAGCATCACTGTCTTCCTAGAAACTATTTGTGTGCGCTTGCGTGTGTTTGTGTACAAAAGCAATCTGTCTCCCTTATTGGGAGTACTAGTATTTTAAGTACATTCTCTGTCTTGGCATTAATATGTCCCCTTTGCCTTGCCCTTGGGCAGGAATGAATCCCAGCTTATTAGAAAGATAAGATCTGTCCTCCTGGTGATTGGAGTCATTGCACTGCACAATTACATTTCCCTAACAAGGATGAGAAACATTCAAAGGGCAGCACAGCTGGCTTTGCTCATGGGGAACTAGGGCTCCTGCCTGGTAGCTCTGTGTTCCATTGTCTGAGGAGGGACAGTGGTGGGGAAATGGAGTTTGACATGAACCCTTAGGGAAAGGGTGACAGCATGGTATAGAGAAAGTGCTGGATGTGTGTGTGTGTGTGTGTGTGTGTGGAGTGAAATGGGAAAACCTCAGGAGGCTCTGTACCAAAACATAATCTCTGTTTTATGCTGATCTCAACCTCCCTTTCCAAGTACTTGCAGATAGTTAGGTCTTCCAAACCAGTCTCTATCTCTCCTTTTCAACCATTCCTGCACTGCTGCTTTCTCCTTAGTTTAGCTGCCCATTGAGTTGTCTTTTGAAGATGCATGTGATGTGTTGTGTGTTTGTGCACATGTATTCATAAGTATTTCTAGCATGTTTCAGCTGATGATCTCAAGGAGGAAAGACTGTATCAGTGTAAAAGGTTTGCAAAGAGCCGTTTGCCTCTTGATCAATGATACAAAGACTGTATTAGCTCTCTGGACATATTTGCATTATCTTTGGTTATCTATCCTTCAGGTACCCAAATGTTTCTTCTCCTTCACACGTGTCTTCCTTTTTTATCAGTCACCTCCCCTCTCTCTACTGAATAATTGTGTTGTATCTTTGTGTTTGAATCATGGTCTAAAGTTTTCAGGGTAGAGAATATCTTTTATTGAATGTTGGTAAACCCTGACATTCTTCCTGGGAGCAGCAGTGGAAGGAAGGGCTGTGTAGCCAGAGAGAAGGAGGAGAAAAATGAGAGAGAATCAAAAGGAAACACAATTCTGAATGTATTAATTCTCTAGAGGAATAGCTGCATCTGATCTGAATACTGGACCAAGCCTATGCATATCAATACCCATATCAGGCTCCATATGCAGTCTTTGAGAGCAGTGCCTCTCTGTTACAAAACAGAATGGATTTTTTGACTAGCAAGATGCCTATAAATGTAAATTCCCTCAAGGTGCAGGATTGGTTTTGATCAGCCCTAATTCTGCTACAAGACCACATAATGTATATAGATTCTGGGTTGGTATCAAAGAGGCTGATCTGAAGCCATTCTCTTTGATGCGAAGGTGATCTGGAATCAGAATCTGACATTACCCAAACATGACAGAACAGACCATTAAATCCCTCTGGAGCATTATGAACTGGCAGTTGCTAAGGATTTTTAAATGCAAGGCAGGCTGACAACATTGTTGGGTAGTAAAAGTACGTTAAGAACTCTTGATAGGAGCAAAGCTGCTAAAGGCCTGGTTAAGTACAGAAATAGGAGCTAAGTGGTTCAGGACAAAAGGTGGAAGATGGGATATTTGCATTTTCCAGTGAAATTGGGTCTCGATGTGGTCTCAGGATTCATTTGTCTCTGAAATGTCTCTAGACAAGAGCAAACTGAAGAATACCCCATCACAAACCAAGGGCAGACTATTTCTACCCTGTACATTGGAGCAGAGGCCTGGGCCAGGCACCATCTTGGCCACCTGAATTGACAAAGAAGGATCTGCCCATCTTGCAGGCCCTGCAGAGCCTGCAGGCCCTACAGGTCCTGCAAGCCTCCCTGGTTTAGGCCCTGCCTTAGGGTGCTACTGAAGGGTAATGTTTAAGGGCCCTTTTGGTGTGGCCTTTCAGCAGGGACAGAGGGTTTTTTTGTTACCTTCCTGCTATGGCTCTTTCTTCTTCACACATTCACTTAATGTTGTGTGTTGGGGGTAAGAGGAGAAGTTATGCAGTTTTTGGGATAGCCACTTCTGTGTAGGAGAGAGGGGTATGGGCTTGGGAGGGACATAGTGGAAGAAGGGAGGGAATTCTCCTGGGTATGAGGCAGGGGAGTGGGTGGGCAGGGGAGTGGTGGAAATAAGTTTCTTATGCCTGGATGCAAATGGAAGTTGGGGTTGGTCGGAGGGTTTGCTGTTATGAGTGATAAAAGAATGGGCATGTTGGGGAGGGTTCAGGTTTGGGGGTGTTGTTTGGAGCATCTACTGTTGTTTCTTATCTGGGGGAAGGGGTTTTCATTTATTGTAAGCTGCCCTGAGCCTTTCTGGATAGGGTGGGATATTAACCTAAATATTGATGATAACAACAATGGGGGAGCTTCTGACTTGGTTTTAATTCAGCTCAGAACAGCTCAGAATTAGGGAAGATGCAGCAAGTAACACAGTGCCATTTTGCTGCTACCACCCTTGGTTCAGGTTTAAGTTCAGCCACAAGTTTAAGAATTACACAGTCCCTGGTGTACACACCCAGGAGATGAGTGAGCATTTGGAGGATTCTGGGGATACTTTTCTGTTGCTGTTTATTCCACTTGCTATGAGCACCCTGGCTTTAGGGATACCCTTGGGAGTAGAATTAAGGATCTTCTTATGGGTCCAGGAGGGAACTCAGGGCCAAAAGAAAGGACTCAGTAACTTGGACTAAAGGAGAATGTGTTTAAGGCTCATGTAATCTGTGGGCTGCAGCACTAAAGAGTAATCCAATTTCAGTTTCCCTCTCTTTCTCTCTCTTTCCCCACCCCACCCCCTCCTCTTCACACACATACATGCACAAACACACACAGGGGCAGATAGAGCTGGGGTGCAGTGGTGCAGTTGCACCATTCTCTTTGAATCCTGCTCCACCCGAACTCTAAAACCAACTGCCTGGGAGGGACAGTAGCATTTTTATTCAGATAATGCTAAGAGTCCGTTGACTTCATGGTTCAGTATTATCTCCCTAATCACTGTTAATCTCTCTCTACTCCACAGGTTTTGGGTATGACCATAAACTGCATCTGACTGGAGGACCTGGGGGCAATGTGGTGAGGCTACTCATGGTGGGGTAGCTTCTGAAAAAGACCATATGTTGCAACCTCCACAGTAAGGTGAGTATAGGACACTTCAGATCCCTAGCCCTTACTTCCTTGTGGGTACTCTTTGGTTGGAGAAAGGCTAAGGGACATCACTCTGACAGAAATGTGGGTGTTAGGCAATTAACAGGAGTTCTTATCTGTTGCTTTCTGGCAGAAGCTACAACCATTGAGGCACTGAACATCTGCACTTGGTTTGACCTTTGGATTCTGTCTCAGTGGTCTAAAGTGGGGATGGGCAGCCTCCACTCCTCCATACTGTTGCCTAGGTGTGTGCATTAGGGGTGTGCAAATCGGGCCCTATTCGATTCATATTCGGAATCGACCCGAATCAGGGACAGTGATTCAATTTGTTGATTTGTATCACTGTCCCTGATTCAATTCGGCTGAATCCGAATCTGAAGAGTTGATGCTGATTTGGAGGATCAGCAATTTGGCCATAGACACAGCTTTAAAAATTTTTTCTACATACCTCAAGGTATCAGCACAGCTTGTGAATGCTGCAGTGCTGGGCCACATGAAGCATCCCACAGAAGTGGGGTGGGACCCTCCACGTGCTCAGCGGCGAACCTGGAAGTGGACCGGAAGTACTTCTGGTCCACTTACGGGTCTGCTGGGGAGTGCGCTGCCCACCCTCCCCCACATGCCTCCCTGGCTTGGCGATCAGCTGCAGGGGGACCCCAGGTGCTCCCCTCAGATCCAGGAGGCACCAGTCACCGAGCTGAGGGGGGGAGGAGGGGCCCAGCACACTCCCTGGCAGACCTAGAAGTAGACCAGAAGTGCTTCTGGTCCACTTCCAGGTCTGCTGCTGAGCACGCTGGGGAGCCCCCTGCTCTCCTGTGGGACACTCCATGTGCACCAGCATTACAGCAGTCATGAGCCTCTGCTACCTAGAGGTATGTAAAAATAATATTTAAAACTGTCTCTATTTCCGAATCTTTCCGAATTGATTCGGAAGGTTCCAGTTTGATTCGGAGAGATTAAAGGGTCTTCTGATTCAATTTGGATTTGGAGGTTCGGTCACCGAATTGGGCCAAATCTCCACTGAATCGAATCAGGGACCGAAGCATCACACAACCCTAGTATGCATGGAAGGTCTTGGTGACTAGACCTCTTACATGTACACCATGATCCAGAGGGTCTGTGGTTGTCTACATACTCCACAGGTGTTTATAGACCCTCAATCCTTTTTAATGGTCTTGATGTTTCACTGTTCCAACTACCCTTTAGTATGCAATTTTGCTGTTTGTTAGCCATTCATGGTAATGTTCCTCTTCTATTTTATATCTTTGCAGATTGTTTATTAGGTGTAGCTGAAAGCCTTAACTCAGATTTTTCATAGACTTTTTCATAGACATTAGGGCTGGAAGGGACCTCGGAAGATCATCGAGTTCAGCCCCGTGCCCAAGGGGCAGGAAGTCAGCTGGGGTCATAGGATCCCAGCAAGATAAGCATCCAATTTTCACTTGAAGGCGTTCAGTGTAGGTGATTGAACCACCTCTGGTGGCAGGCTATTCCATACCTTGGGGGCTTGGACAGTGAAGAAATTCTTCCTTATGTCCAGCCTGAAATGATCTTGCAGGAGTTTATAACCATTCGACCTTGTCATCCCTTGGGGCACTCTGGTGAACAATCATTCCCCCCCCGATTCTGATGAACATCCCTGATAAACTTATAGGTGGCCACCAGATCACCCCTGAGCCTGCGCTTTTCCAGGCTAAAGAGCCCCATAGCTCTCAGCCTGTCATCGTAAAGTCTGTTTTCCTGACCTCTGATCATGCATGTGGCTCTTCTCTGGACTCTCTCAAGCTTCTTCACATCCTTTTTGAATTGTGGAGTCCAAAACTGGATGCAGCACTCCAGCTGCGGCCTCACCAAGGCCGAGTACAAGGGGACAATGACGTCCCGGGATTTGCTTGAGAAGCATCTATGGATGCAAGCCAGCATTTTGCTCACTTTACTAGCCGCAGCATCACACTGAAGGCTCACGTTCATCTTGTGGTCAATCATGACCCCCAAGTCCCTTTCATCTGTAGTGCTAATCAGCATAGCACTGCTGAGCCTATAAGGATGCTGCAGGTTTTTCCTCCCAAGGTGGAGAACCTTGCATTTGTCGGTGTTAAACATCATTAGGTTCTCATCTGCCTATTTCCTGAGCCTGTCAAGGTCAGCCTGGATCACCCTCCTGTCCTCAGGTGTGGATGCTTTACCCCAGTGTTTGGTGTCATTGGCAAACTTGGCCAGTCCACTTCTGACTCCAATATCCACATCATTAATGAAGATGTTGAACAATATGGGTCCAAGGACAGAGCCTTGAGGGACCCCACTGGTCACAGGGCACGATGACAATTGACTTCCGTCTACCACCACCCTCTGGGTCTGACCACAGAGCCAGTTCTCCAGCCAGCGGATTGTGGTGGACCTGTGGCCACAGCAGGGGCTATCAGGCCTGCCGCTTTCATGCTGCTGCGGCTCAACACACACAGTGTCACCCATGTCACAAGTTTTGCTTGTCCGCAGCTTGAGGTGCAGTCCCCCCCAAGCCCCTGCACCGATCTTCTTGAAACTTGGCAGACTTTGTGGCTTCATCAAGGACTACCACCCCTGCAGTTTTCAGCCCGCTTCACTTTAACACACAGAGGGTCATCTATGTCACGAGTTGTGCCTGTCAGCAGCTTGAGGTGCAGTTCCCCCCAAGCCCCTGCACCGATCTTCTTGAAACTTGGCAGACTTTGTGGCTTCATCAAGGACTACCACCCCTGCAGTTTTCACCCCCATGTGGTGTAACACATACACATGATATGAGTTTTGCTTTCAAGAATGTGGGGTGTAGTTCCCCCCAAACCCCTAAACCGATCTTCTTGAAGCTGGGCAGGCTTCATGCTCTCAGCAGTGGCTAACATCTCCGCCAGCTTTCTTGGCAGGCTTCATGCTCTCAGCAGTGGCTACCATCTCTGCAAGTTTCATCCAAATCAGACAAAACAACAATGTTATAGATATTTCATTGATTCCCCATTATACCCTATGGCCGAATCTCTGAGGCGGCTCTGAAGCTTCGGTGCCGCTTCGGCCGGATTGAAGCAGGAACCCAGTCTGGAGCTCTGGATCAGATCCCTGGCATCCAAAGCAGCTGAATCCAAATCCAGATCGAATAGCTGCCTACTCACACAGGCTTAATGTATGTTCTTTCTTCTTGTGTAGTTTGATGTATCACGCAGCAGTGATGATCACAAAAGTTCCCAAGGCACTGGGCTGGATTTCAGACATTTTGCAGCCCATCACCAACAAAGAGTTGGTTTGGCAGCAGAGGAATGATGAGGCTTTGGGGACAGTTAAAAACGTCTTGATTCTCACTTGTCAGCATATTCCTTTCAACATACTCCTTAGAAAGGTTCCTGACCTCCCACCACTCCCTGACCTGGCCCTTGAACACATCAATGCCAGCACATGGGACCCAAATGATCCCACAAGGGGGTGAGAGAGTTTAAGGTGTTCTACATGAGTCTATGCTATGAATGTGTATCATATACCTAGAGTCTCCAGGGTAGTACATGCTGCAGATTCTGGGCAGCTGCAGACCCAGGTATCCCAGGCAGAGCTCATCATACTTAAAGCAATTATGGGGTTGACCTGGCTTACAATCAGTCCGGAATCCTGAGGGCCCCAGATGACTTACAGACTTTGTCTGACTTCCCCCAGGGCTGCACCTTTGTGCTGCACTCCTGCAGACACATCACTAGCTCACTGTTTGTGGCAGAGCCCTGCTTGAAGGTATAGACTGGATCCTCAGAGTGCACCCTGGAGTCACATCCTAATCAGGGAACAGTCATTGCAGCTCTAATCCTGAAACTCCTTGTGCTTGCACTACAGTACCCATATACAGCATGACTGACTTCATTGTGGCAACAACCACATGCATCCTTTTACACACAAGAAGGTGATGGATCAAGATATAAATACATAAATAAGTTGTTTGGTAAGATGTTCCCCACATTCCCCTGCATATTTGTCTCAGACTTCTGGGTGAATGTAGCACCTCAGGCTCCTCCCTTCCCCAAGTGGTCTGCAAAACTAAGGCCAGACCCTCCTTTACCTCAGCCAGACCCTGTATATTTCATGAATGGAATGCCAGGCACAGATCTGTATATGCATGTGTGTGCGTCTACATGGGAGGATCTAGGATTTTAAGAAAGAGGGTGAAGATAGCATGGCACATCTTCATATATAACACAACACATTTATCTCCAGTTAAAGAGAAACTAGAAGCTGTACTAATATAGATGAGGGGCTAGCAAAAAAACAAAGATAACTACTGGAAAGTACACTTATTTGCTAAATTATATATAAAGTTTAAAAATAAACTAAGCAAAAAATTGTCAAAGGCTATTGTAATGTTAATTCTGTAGTCATTATAGTTAAATGTACATCTCTTATTCAGACTCATAAAACAAAACGTAGTCAGTGACCCCCAACTGCCATGGAGCGCCCCCACTGACCCCCAGCAGCAGCCAGAGGTAAGCGGGGCCCATGGTGGGAGGGACTAGCCCGAGCCTAGCCACAGGGAGGTGGCTAAGCTGGAGCTGAGGGGGGTCTCACCTCGCCCTGGCCCTTACTTTGCCCAGCTCTCCAGGGAGCCATGCGAACAGGCTGTGCAAACAGGCGCGCTGGTCTGCCCAGTGCGTGAGTTAGCATGGAGTTCATACAGGAGGGCGAGCGGAAGGGGCCGAGGCCCTGCCTGTGCGCTTCTGCCCTAAGGAAGCCAGTCCCAGCTGTAGCCAGCCCACCAGTGGCATGACATGGATGGGCATGTGCCTCACCCCTCAGGTCCCCTTGGGGTCTGCAGCCCCCCCCCCCGATTCCTCAGAGGCCTCCTCCCAGGTGGAGTCAAGGGTTCCAGGCTGCACGCAGATGAAGTCCCTGGCTCTCAGCTGCGGGGACTGCCTGTCGCTTTTTCAGGCTCTGGGGCCTGGGAGCATGGCCATCTCCCCTTGTGAAGTCTGTTCCCTACTGGGGTCTTTGGTGCGCCAGCTGGAGGAGCT